TGCTTATCGCACCCAATAGCACGCCTTACCGCAGCCTGGCAGGCAGCGCCCAATAGCACGCCTTACCGCAGCCTGGCAGGCAGCGCCCAATAGCACGCCTTACCGCAGCCTGGCAGGCAGCACCCAATAGCCACAAGTTACTGATTCAGATTTATCTGACTTGCTGTTGCCGTCTATGTGCCAGCGAGCAAATAAAATCTCCAGGGGCCTTATTTCCAGGACTGGTTGCTGGGGGCACGGTTAGACTGGTGACAGCAGCTGAGGGGTTCACCAGTCATATGAGATGCATGATCTGAAAATACCTCGACCCATTTCCCCTTCTCCTTGCCAAGTCCCGCCCCCTCATGGGCAAGCCAGTAAAAACAAGCGGAGGGGGGGCAGGTGAGTTGCAGCCAAGCAGTGGTGCCAAAGACAGGACCGGGCCAAGGGGGACAGAAAGGTCACTAAGGAGAGGGCAGGGGTCAGGCTGAGGACGGGCGCTGGGTGATGGGCACCATCTGTGCTGGGCCCCCCCAATGGCAGATGCATGCGTGGGGAGGGGGGGTCATCTGCCAGCCCCAGTGCGGAGGTGCCACTTCAGGCAGCGGGGGGGCTGTCAAACGGCTTTCTCTGAAACGACAGCCTGGGATGGCGGGTCAGTGCTGATTTACCCCCGGAGGCCAGGTGAAGAGCAGGCGGCGGGATGAGCAGCCTTCTGTGGGCCCAGGAATTATGCTGGGGCTCCAAAGAACTGCGAGCAATGCATTCACAGCCTCAGCAGTAGGGAGGTCTCCTCTGCCCTGGAGGGGAGGGGGGTCCCACGGAAGGAGGCCCAAACAAACAGCAGGAACAGAGGCGTCGGTCCCCAGGACGCCTTCGCAGGGAGAAAGGGACTCCCAGCTCGCTCTGATCCAGAGGAACTTACACTTACACCCAAATCTCATTTGTATGTTACTCCAATGACTGAGGCTAAGTACCCTTTCAAGGGTACAACAGGCGGCCCCTCCTGGGAGGAAATCATCTGCTTTCAGGTTAAAAGTCAGGGTTATTAAGCACCTGGAGAGCGCCGATCAGATGCCGCATGCTGATTGCCATGTTAATATCCACGCCAACGGCGCTCCCCAGGCAGATCGGGGAGAGCTGTCCAGATGGGCCTCCAGCACCGGCTGCTGGAGCCTCTGCACCGTGAGGTCCTGGGGGGGCTCCTGTCTGACATCACCCATCCCGCGATGCCGTGCTCCTGCAGCACGGCGCTCGGGTCCCCATGGAGGTGTCTCCTACTCGGCTTTGTTTTGTCATGAAATGCCGTCTCTCTGCTCCCCACATGTGCTCCTTTGGTGCCACATGCAGTTAGGCGCCACCCCGTGTTCTGACGCAGGACCCAGCGGGAGGTGCCGTGTGAGGGGGCGCCGATGCCTTTCCTGTAATGTTTAAGGGGTTTGAAGAGGAACCCCGCTGGCAGCGGGGGCCACCTGGATGGCAGTGTGACAGTGCTACGATTAATCATGCTCCCCCCCCCTCCACCACCCCCCTAGTGTCGCCTGGCCCACCGACAGGGCTGTTCATAGCACTGATCAGAGGACACTTTAAAAGAGCCATGGACAGAAAACATGGTGGCAGTGAGAGCTCGTTAATAAACACAGCCCATAATCGAGGAGAAGAAGGATAAAATCACAAAACCGCCCCAGCGAGGAACCCCGGTGCCGGTGATGCTAATTACTGCTACAAATGAGGAACTTGATGGTTCGCGTGACGGCTGAATTAGCAACTGCATGCAGCAATCACCCCGGAGTGCTGTCACACACGGGAACCAAAAGCCAGGGCCAAAGAGCAGGCCTGTGATTGGATGGCTCATGCAGGTCATGTGGTCCAGATTATACAGCCTCTGAACTGGAAGTGGGAGCCGGGTGCCCCGGGGTGGTGTGCATGGTAACCATGACAACAACGGGCATTCAGAGTGGCATGCATGGCTGGAGCCGGGCACCATTATGGGTGTTTCCTAGCTCAGGTTGGGGCTTGGGGGGGGGGGGCAGCTATTTTCACACTACGACTTCACAGAGGTCAGTACTCCGATTATAGGAACCACCTGACTGCTCCCGTGCCACATGTCTGACGAGTCAGGAATGCAAATGGGCAGAGGCTGGGAGGGCACGTCCCCGAGGCCACACCCCCATCCCTGCCATGCCGTGGACTTTATAACCTGTCAGAATTTTAATGTCAAGTCGATATCCCTGCGGCACGGCGCCGGCCCGGACCCGGGTCCTGTAAGAGACCCGGCGGCTCTGCTGCCGGTTCGATATGGGCATTCACCATAGCTGGGGGGGTTAATCAATGCTTAAAGGGACCGTGACATGAGCACATAGCTTTTGTGCTCGGTACGGGCCAGAGTGGAGCGTGTGCACAGTGAATATACCACTCTGACAAAAGCCTTCACAAGCATCTTCAAAACGCGACACAGATCAAAAAACAAACCTTTGTTGTTCATTGTCTTCGTCTGTATCATGATCATTGTATGTATGTTCATTTCTTTAGGCATGTGTATTTATGTTTGTGTGTTACTTTTTGTGAGGGTGTATTCATCTTCTTGTCACTTGTATTTACATTATTTTTTGTCAGTGTGTATTCATGCATATGTGTATTTTCATTTGTGTGTCTCTGCTTGTGTGTATTTATGTTCATGTCAGTTTGTCTGTGTATTCATGTTCATTTGTGTGTCTCTGCTTGTGTGTGTTCATGCTGATTTCTGTTGAAAGTGTGTGTTCACGCTGATTTCTGTTGATTGTGTGTATTCATGTTCATTTGTGTGTGTCTGCTTGTGTGCGTTCATGCTGATTTCTGTTGATTGTGTGTATTCATGTTCATTTGTGTGTCTCTGCTTGTGTGTGTTCATGCTGATTTCTGTTGATCGTGTGTATTCATGTTCACATACGATCACCTTGACCACAGCACTTACTCGGGTTGGGCGGGAACAGGGTGCAGCTCTTGCAGTGAATGATCTCCTTGACGACAGGCATGTCCTGCGTGATGGGCGGGGGCACAATGCCAAGGCCTGGCATCATGGGGTTCATGGGGGCGATGCCCGCCATCATGCTGAGGCTGGGGTCAAAATCTGCAGCAGACGTGGGGGAGGGGGGGTAGAGGTGATTAAAACAGGTCTCACTTTGACAAATACATTTATTTAAAACATACTTTAATTTCATGTTGGGGTAACTCAAATCTAAACCCTGATTTTGACCAGCAAATAAATTTCCCCCCATGCATACATACATCCATCTCCTAACAGCTTATCCTGCTCCGGGTCACGGGGGTGGGTACACCCAGCTCAAAGGGGTTTAAATATGCACCGTGTTCCCTGGCTCCTGCTCTCTGTGGTAACTCTGTGCATTTTATATTTGACAGCCGTGGTCTTTGATTTACGGGGATCGATTGGGACCTGCAGCCGCCAAGGCAGGCAGTCTGACGTGAAAACAACACCCCCGTCCGTGTGGTGGCGAGAGCTCAGCAGCTTCGCTCATCCTAACGAGACATAGGGATACGAGCCGTCCGTCGTCCAGCGTGGAGACAGGAGCATGTCGGCAATACAAGTGAGGACTGATGAGTGCTAGATCACATTGGCGGGGGGGGGGGGTGACAGTAGACAGTAGAAGCCTCACATCGTGCAACATGCACTATTCACAGCACAGGGTATGGAGCCCTCACTGAGCAAACACTACATAGGAGAAATATAGATCTCGGACGGGAGCAGGGCTGCAAACCAAGCCTCACGCGGTGTGTGGAAAGCTGGGCTGCTGGAAGAGACGGGGGCTGGAGAACAGACGGCGCCCCTCGGTGGCAGGAATGTGGAGTTAATGCTGTGCGTGACCACACAAAGAGATTTGTGTCCGATGGCTGCCACCGCTACCATGACTGAAAAATGCAAGGAGACAGGATGCAAGTGAACTCCTGTGTGTGTGATTGCCTAGGAACTGCTGTGGGGGGTGAAGGTCTGCCTGGATGCCGGGGACTGGGGTTCCACAGCAGGGCTCCCTCTCGGCCTGGCCTGGTGCCGTGCTCCCAGCGAGGGGCCACATGCACATAAAAAAGACATTTACTCAATTTAATGGGCACCGCTGCATCCGATGAAAAGGACAGGTGTTAAATCAGCAATTTCCACTTAAAGTGCACTGACAACATGCACCGGACAGACCACCCGCATGAAGCAAGTAAAGGGTCTCTGGAGGCTGGGAATCAACAGGATAGCTCGATGTCCGTTATTTATCTATTTATTGTAAAAAATAATCATTAAAGAGCTGGGGGGTGGTGGTGGTGAATGTGACAGTGGATGAGGGCCTAATCTAAAGCGGCCTTTGCTGCCTGTGTGGCATCTGTGCATGTCCCCCCGAAATCCCCCCTTTGAGGAGATGTTCAGTGTAGCCTCTCCACGGTTCTGTATAACAATCTGCTTCCTGGGGGTTCCCTGAATGTAATTACAAGCTGGCAATCAGTCAATGGTTCGGAAGAAAATTTAAAGCATGGGGGGCACAAAAAAAAAAAAATTACACGAAGTGTACAGGTCCCTGGGTGTCTGCATGGGGGGGGGAGGTTCTGTTCATCTGAATGCCAGCTCTTCTCCCAAGTGCTCTGATACCCCACTAAGCCTCAGAAATGTGCCAGGGATCAGGTGATGAACACAGAGCTGAAAGTCACTCCCTATCCAGCTGGCCAAGGAGCACCAGCTACAGGAGAGACCATCAGCCTGCAGATAAAGCGTTTCGCTGCATCAGAGCGGAACCCGGACAGCGCGTTCGGCCTGTGGGGGGCACATCCTGAGCTCTGTTAAGAGGGCAGGATCACCAGAGAGACAAGGGCCTCATTATCAGACGGGCCCCAGAAGCCCAAGCAGGCCTCTGCTGAGTCCAGGGGGGGCGGAACCCTCCGCCAATTAAAGCTGTGAAAGCAGCAGTCAGTGTGCTTTCTGAACCCACGGTTGCTGCCACAGTCATACAGGCTGTCTGGTCAGGAGCACGAATCATCCCGGATGGGGATGGGGGTCAATCTGCAGCTCAGTGCAGGGGCATCACCCATCAACCGTGAGCTCTTTGTCCCCAAGGCCAGTGTTGGATGAAGAACAGGAATTCCGATAAAGTTTCACTGCCGCCAGGCGAATGGAGATGTTGGCGTCGGGCGAATAATCTCGTCTGCATCCGCGGTTGGAGGACAGCTACTGCCACTGTTGCATGGAAACGGCCCGTCTTTCCAGCACCTTCCATTGAGAGCTCTGTGGTGGCGTGTAAGTGGCACAGCGTCATGCGTGTGGGCACAGAACAAAACCATGGTAAAAATAAAGGCCCATAAGGACAATGATAAATTTAGCAATTTTCTTGAATGTGTTCAAGATGCTGGTCTTCACATGGCTGTAATCATGAATTGAGCCATCATCAAAACACCCATCCAAAACTGGGATTATCAGCCATTTTAGCAACTGGGCCAGAAACTTGAGGATCATTTGGGTAAATGACTTTATGGGCATTTATGGCAAAACAGATTTAAAGGTAAGGGTTTCCGGGAGACAGAGAAAAAAACAACTTTATTAAAGGCAGGGCTGTGTGGGAACTGAACAGATGCGAAACCGTGAGCGCTTTATGAATTATGTAACGTCCAGCGTCACAAATGTTGGAAACTGCAAGAGGAAGGGCAGAGGGGGAGGGAGGGGGGCTACTGGTTTAAAGAGGCAGTTGCTGAACTGAAGAAGGGAGGGAGAGAACTGCGCCGGTGAAGAAGGGAGGGAGAGGGCCGCGGCGGTGAAGAAGGCAGGGAGAGGG